TAAAGGAATGGCACTCTGATTCAGCAGGCGGGATCTTTGCACACAAGAAAATTTGAAAGATGCTGGTAGCCCTGCCTGCAGGGGATAGTAGTAGTATTTTCAAAAAGAACCTTTCAGAAAAACTAGTTTTCCTTCAAACTGGAATGAGGACGAGGCATGCTGAGTTAAAGCAGAAATGACTCTTTCATCTCTGGCCACTGAAAGCCAGCTCATCATTAGCTGTCGAGGCCATAGTGTTGTGGACCCTTCAGCCTGACTACATGGATCCAAACTAGCATCCCCTGCTAAAAGAGAAGTATACCCAAACCTGCTACTGGGAGAGAGCACAACATAGCCATATCTGACAGACATGACTCTCAGATCAATCAAATAAGACAGACATTCTAGACAATAACATCAACCCAAAGGGGGGCATGGAGGTCAAAGGTCCAGCAACCAGGAGACAGCCTTTTTCAAGAGGAACAGCACCCCTTCTGCCAGAGGCATCACTGGGGGGGGGGGGAGCACTCAGCACAGCCGGAGACAGGGAGCTCAGTGATGCACTATGAACACACTCCATTTTTACCTCTTTACAAGCTTCTTGAGGAGAGAGGTTATGGGGGAAGCAAGTCTTTAATCTCATCCTGTGGAACACAGGAGCAAGCAAGTCTGCAGGTGACTACTGTTCAAGCCACTGCATCTGAAACACACTTCTACAACAGTCCCATGTTCCTGTTTATGGTCACTGTACAGCTCAACAGGGCCAGCACAGACAGTGAAACAGGAAGCAACCTCGGGAAGCCCCTGGCTGCTTTCTTCACTGGTTAAAGCCTATTCTAGCCTTAGGAACCTGAATGTCTGGCAAAGCTGGTAGGAGGGAAACCTGGTGAAACTTCATGGGGTCCGTAAGTGGATCTTCCCCAGCACCTGACACAGAGACTCTCTCACTCAGGGACATGTCTACAAACACCAATCCTCTCGTAACAGAGCACCAAGAAAAATCAAAGTCCAGTTCCACAAAAGTCCAGCCTGGGGAACCACTGAGTTTAATGGCTTCAGAGTATGGGTATTCCCAAAGCAGGCTTGCCACAGGAAGGTCTCATCATCCCAGTCAGGATGATGACTTCCCTAAGACAAGAGCGGGATCCCTACTTCAGTCAACTTCCATCCAGTATATTCAAGCACCTCCCCTTACAACGAGAGCAAATGCAGTTAGGGCAGACTTACATGTAAATGGCCAGAAGGCGAGCACCTCCAGAACCTCAGGTCAGCGACCCCACCCCTTTCTTCTATGAGGGAATGTCAACAGCTAACAGGCCTGGTCTTGAGAGTCTCTTGCAAGATGATGAAAGTAATGGCTACTATGCTCTGAAGCCAGCACTCTGCAAGAGCAAACAGGACCTGGCACACACTCTTAGGATGCCCTGTGACTCACTGTTCCGTCTCTAATCTCCCGAAGGCAAAAGCACATGTCAGTCTTCTCTGAAGCTTCTGCTGATGCACAGACTGGCACTTAGTGGGCCTGAGTAAATGGACCTGACAGGGGCCTGCTCTTAGCTATCCTTCCCTGCAGTGGCTTTCTATTAGCAACTCAGTGCTTTTAAATCACGTCTGCATGTTCCCTGCCCCTTTTTCTTTCACAAGGGACAGTTCATGCCCTCCTGTTGAATGCCATTCAGACTCAGTGACTAATTTCTAACGGACAAAATGGTGGACAAGAGATACTCTGAGGCTAAGTCAGAAGAGGATCACTTCATCTTGGCTTAGCCTCTTAGACAGCTGTTTTTTGAGAAGCCAGTGCCATAACTGAGGACACTCAAGAAGCTTGTGGCGCAGGAAAGAAGCACAATCTCTTGTCATCAACCAAACCCTGCTTACCTGCTGCTGGGCTCTCATGGGGAGTTCTAAAGAGACACCGGGCAGGGCCATAGTCAGAGAGCTCAGCTGGGGTCACTGAGTGGCAGTGAACAGTTCCTGACCTCAGCTGAGCCCTTGATGACTATGGCCCTAGCCAATGTCTCAGTAGAACACACTGAGAGCCTGAGTCTGACCTGGGCAGGCAAGCCACCTGCTTGAGGAACCCTGACCCAAGATGACAGGACAGAGAATGCCTCTTATTGCTACCACAACATCCAGGGACGATTTATCTGGCAGCAGTAGTTAATACTAAATTTGAGGGTGAGGGGGTAAGGGAAAGGGACAGGTAATTAATATACCAACCTGGTGAATCTGAATGCTTCATAGTGGGCTAAGGGATTTCCTTAATGACAAAAGTAAATGACAGTAATCATGTTTATAATAAAATGTTATCATCAGGACTCTGCTGTAGGATGGCACAACCACTGACTATTAACACACTATCAGCACACATGTCTGAGTGCTTCCACGACCACATCCTGCTGCTTCTCATCAGCTACCTACACAATGTTCTAGTGCAGGGAAGAGGACAATCTCTCAATTTAATCCTTTTTGGAAAGTTTTGTTTACAAAATAATTGTGTGTATGTATGTGTGTACTGAAAAAAAAAATCTACCAAACCTTAAAAGGGTTTTCCTATACAAAACGAATAAAGTGTAATTAATAAAGAATTAAAAAAAAAAAAAGGTTTTCCTTGGGATGGCATGATGTATTTGTTACCTCTGGTTTTTCTTTACATGTGCATCATACATCTATTACTTGTGGTTGGTATCTCTTTTGTTTTTGTTTTTTTTTAATTTTTAAAAAACGTTCTTAATTGTAGTAGGCTGTATCCTAGTCCTAGCCAACATCAAACAGAATGAAGGCCTGTGTGGAAGTCTGGATATAGATCCTGCCTATGAGGCAGTAGGTCTATGAAGGGATTCCAGCAGACTGAGAGCCCGAGAGCTCAAAGATGTGAAAGAGGAGCAGTCAATCTCTGCAGGAAATGGCTCTAGCAGACAGGAAATCATTCCACTGCTGTATTTCTTAGGGTGCCGTAACCATTTCTCACTTTGAAACCAAGTCTTGTGAGTGATCTATTATAAATGTATGATGACAGTTGTGAATACTCCTCTCTCTTTCCCTCTGGCATCAGAACAGTGTCTGTTGATTGCCTCGGTGCTTAAAATATCTTCTAAGTGTCCTTATAATAGCATGTCACCTGTAAACAGGTTTCAAGCCAATGCAAATTAACAAATGGTGAACAGATGGACTAAGAACTGACTTTTGTCAGGAGAGAGTTAGCAACAAACACTTTTTGGCTTCGGGCTTATGGGACCATTAGAAAGTCTTTTACTTCTTGCCAAACATCTTGCCTCAGTAGACAATCCATGCAGGGAAAATGACAGGTTACAAGGACCATCAGACTTCGGGGAGCTGCGTGCTGAGATATGCAGTCACCAAGTCAATACGATGCGATGCAACAACAGAGCAGCACTCCGGGAGAAGCTTTTTGCTTCTCAAGTCAGCTTCTTCTCAAAGAACACAGCACATGTACATGCATGCGGCATGCAAAAGCAGCGGGGGGAGTGCTGCTTGCTTCTGTTCAGCTTGTCTGGAAGGTGCAGACTGTGAGGGGGTCCACAGGACATGGAGACAGCTGTAGACAGTGTCTGCTGCAGGAGAATGCCCCAGTGACCCTACCCAGCCATTCTCTTTCCTCAAGTCTACGCCGTAAGCCGTCGCCAGTGAGTCCTTGTTTGACCACTTATTTAAGCAGGCCCCGCTATTGCTATCTATTATTTTCCCAGCATTAATTATAACTGAAAACTACGGTATTGGGGACCATCTTGCTTGTAATTACATCCTCAAGACCTGGAGTCTTGCCCAGCACACAGTACACACAGTAAGCATTTGCTAACCAGACAAAATCAGTGAGCCCTTGAGTAGAGGTGAACATGGATATCTTATATGCAAACTTTCTTTTGAGCAGCCAATGTAAAGATGCTGCTTGAAGCTGAGGCCAGGAGCAAAGGAGAGGACAGAGAAAAGAATGACGTGGTAGGGAATGTCTGAGGCCCACACATAGTCTCTAGGAGCGTGACCCCTCTGAGGAGTGTACATGCTAGGAGAGACCCTACCAGCAAGGCCTCTCAGCACACAGCTAGCCAGCCAAGTGGGTGAACCAATTGAGGTAATAAATATACGGAGCAGGGAGAAAAAAAAGCATTTGTGATCCCTGTTTTTATAGTGCTCTAGAAAAATAGCTTAGTGAAAAAGCACAGTCTTAGCATATACAAGGCTTTGGGTTCACACACACACACCGTGCATACACTTGTGTCCATGTGTGTGCACACATACACTCAGAACTAGCACAAATGACAGCATATTATTTTACTTATATAGAGTTCAGGATCTGGCAAAACTGTGGTTTTGCTCTTGGAGGTTTTGTTTTGAGACAAGATCTTACTGTATAGCCCAAGGTGGCCTTAAACAGAGATCCTCCTGCTGCAGCCTCCCACATGCTGGGACTCACAGGCACAAGCCACTACACCAGGCTAAAATTAACTATTAAAAAAAAATGGGAACAATACTCAACATAGGATTAAAGGCAGTTTGGGTGCCAACTGGGAGGCTGGGGACTCTCCTAGCATTTTAGAATTGGTAGCTACAGGGAGGTACACAGGAAAGGAGAAGCACCACGCGGTCTGCTGTGCCTGTTATCCCTGTTAGTGAAAAACCAAGAGCACGTGGGTTACTAGGTGACGGCAGCAGCCAGCCTAGCTCTTCTCTACCCAGCTTAAGCATGTCCTCTAGGCTTGTGCTTACCAGAATATACATAGCTCTACTGGTGTCCTGCCAGCTTCAGAACTGAGCTGAGGAAACAGTAAGATATGAGGAACCTAAAACTCCCAGCTGGAAAGTCCTACACCAGACACATACACTAGAAACCATGTCACAGCTGCTCCAAAACAAACTTAAGGTAAGTTCCACTTTCTAGTCCTGCTAGAGTCCTTTTAAAAAGGACACTATTTGGAAGGAAAACAATCTTTCCTACCAACTCCAAAAGCACAAAGCAAAGTTCATCCAGCTGGAAAGCCCTCCGCAAATCCTTCACTCACTGAGGTGGGAGAACCAGAGTGGTGGGCTGAGCCTTCGGTCTCCGCTTGGCAGACACACCCATCTGATTTGCAGAGCGCTTCAAGGACTGTTGGTTCAAAAGGCCAGATGCTAGACCTGCATGGTACTGCAGCTGCAGAGACAAGAGGGAAGAAAACATTGCATGAGCTCAGGACAGCAGGCGTTAAATTATCAATCCCAGGCCATTCTGTCACCTCACACGTTTTAAGTTATTTCAAATACTGCTGCTAACATTCTGCTGCAGGAAATTTATTCCTAAGGTGATAATTAAATGAAAAGAAAAAGCAGCAAAGTTGTTTTTCATGACAGTAACGCACCAATGAAAACTGGACACAGTCGATAGTGGTTACAAGTTAAAGGGCTTCGAAGCATCACCGCACTGATTGAGAAACAAAGCAAGATGCACTGTGAGCCAAGAGACACACACAGGTGCTGCTATGCGATGTGCACTTCTGAATACTACCAGAACTCTGGAGGTGTGGCGGTAGAAGCTCACCCAGATTTTTCAAGGGGTAGTCTGAAAGCCTGGGTCATGTTGCGAAGAGGATCTGGACAGTTTTTGCCATGGAATTCTTGCTTGTAATGAAAACTACAAAACTGATCCTGGACTGTGTAAGCCAGGACCTTAACTTGGTAGCCACACAGGCTAAGCACATGAGCTCTATGTCATTTTTCCCATTGGTGACGTAACTAGTGTCATGATAAGAGCCAGCTCAGGACACAATCTGACAACAACCTATACAAACAGACCCAGGCTCTGGAGGGAACAGCAGAGATAGTAATTTCATTTCTACTCACATACCACTGAACAGTGCAATGGAGAGGAAGCTACATACATGATGTGGGCTCAGGGCCAGCACCCTTCGCTTTATTCCTGGACAAACTGCTGAGCTTTCCGGATGCTTCACACAGAGCATTTTACTCCCTGTGGTATCTTTTGTGGAGAAGAGAAGTGGCACTGCCTAGCTCTAACCCAGACAACTTTGTGTAGAAAGCCACCCACTAACTTTTAGCCTGTGTAGAGTGGAATGCAGACATTTTAAATGTACCACTGAATGGATTTAGACCAGTTGTTCTCAACCTGGGGTTGCAATCTCTTTGGAAGTGAAATGAGCCTTTCACAGGGGTTGCTTAAGACCATCAGAAAACACAGATATTTAAATTATGACGCATAACAGTACAGTATTATATTTATGAAGTAGCAAGTGAGATAATTTTATGGTTGGGGGTCACTACAACATGAGGAACTATATCTACAGGTCTCAGTGCTAGGAAGGTGGAAAACTACCGGTTCAAACAACAGCATGGAAAATTTCCCAACACTGCAGAAAGATCCCTGGTGCCACAGACAGAGCCCCAAATTTCTGCCAACCCAACATCTGGATTGAAAACATAGTTCCCCAGTCTCACACACTGCCAAATGAAGCGCAGCACGGTGACATGTGACAATAGCCTCCCTCTGCTTTTGTAGTTTAGATCCTAAGAATTGCCATCAATCTCTCTACAATAAAATTAGCCTTGACAGGTATCCCAATCCTGAACAGACATAAACAAAACACTCAAACATGTAAATGCTCAGCTAAAAATTTAGACTAAGCCCATTTTTAACATCTGACACACTTCTTCCCCTCCTTTCAAATGAAGCAAGGTCTTCAGAATACATATTTAGAATTAACTAAATATACAAATGGTAACTCATTCTGAATCAATTTCTTCCCAATTGCTTTTCCAAGGCATGGATTTTCTTTGCCGAGTCAGCTGCATTGCAACTTGCGGTAATGAAATGGTGACCACCATATATAAAGGACTGGGTCTGGATGCAAAGGGCAATAAAGCTCTGAAAAACAAACGGCCTCACCTAAGGCCACTGGGCTGCACACAGAGAAAAAGCAAAACCGATTAAAATGATCTGCTCCTTGAAAGTGGCTATAAATGAGAAGCTGGCTACCCCGTGACCCAGTAAGGCAGAAATGGCTGTGTTTGGAGCATCCATGCTGCTTCCTAAAAGATGCTTGATTTACCTGGTGGATCTGCTGGGGAGCCCACAGCCACCCCATTACAGAACAAAGATGAAGACAGATGGCCTTCATAATAAAACAGGAGTTCTTTGCAGGGTAGAGAGGGGTAGGCTTTGGCTCTAACAACTCATCTTAGACCAGTGAATTTTGCTCAGATTTGGTTTTCTCCTACAGATTCCTTAAATGGGAAATCAATGGGAGCAAGGGACAGCACAAGTTTGAAAGACAATGTTTCAAAATGTCAGCGGCTTGGGCTTCGATCTTCCCCACCAGAATCTGCAGTCAGAGCAATAAGCACAGGCCTTTCTGGAATGAAGGGAGAGACAGCTTGGCAAGGCCCCTCCTGGCCCAAGGAACCCTCTCTACCTTTGGCTCTCCATCTTCTTTGTCCATGCAAGCTCAGCCCATCCAGCCCTGCTGACTCTTTTCAAGGCAGAGTCCTGCTAACTATGCAGAGTGGCAAGGTGATTCTGTCCACCTGGCATAATTTGGACCATTTGCTTGAACAAACAAAAACCAAAACAGCAGAGCTGCATGACTGCTGTCTGTCTTTTGTAGGTCCTACAAAACCTCCCCATCCGGTGGCTCTCAGCATGCAGGGCAGCTCCACAGCCCATGTAGGGTAGAACTTTCTTTCCTTCTTCCAAAACAAAACCTGCCCTTGCAAGCTGACTCATAATGATTAAGTGACATTTGTTAATCATATATAAGATCCCAGTTTCCAGGAACATGGCTCCAACTGTCAAGATCTATAAGGGGATCTTGTTATTAACTTGTTATCTTGTTATTAACTGAACCACCTTTATAATGGGCAAAAAGGTCAAAGTTAATAAAACTGACAGGTAGCTCCTGTCCAACTGGATTTATACATTATTTAAGCACCAAACATTTCATTCCATGGAACACTGTTTAGATCTGAAAAGACTCTTGGAAAATGTCCACCCAGCCAATGGTTCTGAAGCAGAAGGGGGTTCAGAGGAAATCCACACACAACATTAGGAACATCTTATGCCTCAAAACTCTGCAATAAATTTTCAGCTATAGGTTCTGTAATATCTTTTATAAAAATATACTTCAATAAACAAACCCCTTTCTGAATGTCTATGGCATGGAAACAGAAAAGCCATTTGTCAAAGTTCTGATGTGACGTTTCCATGCAGAAGCATTTCTCCACTAACATGTGAGAGAGGCAAGAGATGAAACAGCCTGGCCCCATACCTTTCACATCCTCTACTGTGGATAAGAGAGCTTATGCTACATGTTGGGTCTTCCTTTACCATGAAGCTGCCAGCCCCACACACAGCAGCTTGGTCTGTCCTCTGGGGTCGAGGGTACTCCAGGACTCCACTGTGTGTTAATTTCAGCCTTCTACCTTCCATGAGTGGCCTAGGATTGTTCTATCAGCTCTCAACCTAAAGCCCTATCTAATAAGTTATATATGTTAGTCATCTCTATACCTGGGAAAATTTCAACAATTCACCATCACCCGAGGGAAGACCAATCAAAATTAGAGAAACTTTGATGGTAACTAGTTGTAAATAATGCTGAGACACACTGCCCATGGGAGATGCTCTAAGTACTGTCAGAAGGGGTCTATGAAACTGAGAACCTGCACAGCATCATCTCAAGAAACTGCTCCCAGGAAAGCCTGTGGCTGTCCGTCCTGTACCCCGCTCTAGAACACACCAAGCTCTGTAGAGGAGCTGGGAGGGTATACAACTCCAGCACACAGGTGATGAAGCAATACCACCTCTCCTAACATTCATAGAACACGTGATCTATGAGGAGACACAACATCCCCACCCCTGAAACTATGATCCCAGAGTCCAACCTGGAGAGCCAATGAGTTTACTGGGCTTACAGAGCTTAGGGAAGGGGTTACTTACAGCAGTGTATGTGACCATCAAGCAACCCTCACCCCAGCAGAGATAATGACAGACCCATAGCTATATGGTGGAGTCCCCTTTTCAGTTAACCTTCCATGCTGTATCTGCTCCCTAGATCATGAGGCCATGTGCAGTTAGGGCAGAACTACATACAGTGGGCTGAGATGTACAAGAGGGAAAAGCCAGAATCCCAGGGCAGGGTCCAGTGGCTCTCCCCACCCTCTTTCTACGAGACAAGGTCAGAAGCCACTTGAAGTAGTCACAGCAGCTCAGGTGAGATAAAAGGCTGTTACGCTCAGAGGACAGCACTCTGTGAGGCTTACCCAGTGATTTAACTTCTTCCTCTGGGTAGCCTAGGTCTCTCAGAATCTTCTTTAAAGACCCTAGACCACTGGGGTCAAAGTTCAGTTGGCTTGAGTATGCTCTGAACTACAAATATTAGTACATATTGAAAGAAAGCTGTATCAAAGAAAATGATGGAGGAAGGATTCAATGTCAAGTTTCTGGCCGAAATTTGAGTGTTTAGAAAACTCAATGAGCCTTCAGGTTAGTTCTCAGCTTGCTTGATGTCTTCCCTGCTGTTCTGTGGCTTCTACCTACTCCAAAATAAGAAAAAAAATGTTTTGCAATGGACCAAGAATGTGAAGGAGATTCCTTGGTCTGCTCAAGTTGAACACACTAATTAAGCCAGGGCCCCTGGGGTCCAAGGCCACAACATTTCTCCATATGCAACATCCTTCTATCCATGCCAGATGGCCGAGAGCCCACATTAAGAGAATATGACATTTAAAAAAAAAAAATCTGAAAACTTAAAGTCAGAACAATCAACTCTGATTTTATTTCCTTCTTAAGGATTCACCCGATCATTAACGGGGGAGGAAAGCTCTTGACCTGAAGTAGGGATTCATTCATTTCACAAATCATTTACCTGCACATTTCTAAGAAGACCAACAAATATGGGCAGTGCCAGTACCCAAACCCTACGAACAAAGAACAGACTAGGACTAAGCTCTCACAGTGTAGCTGGCCCAGACAAGAAGCCCTAAGGGACAGGAGGAAGAGACAGAAGGGCAGAAAGCCCCACAGTCTCCCTGCCTGTCATTCTAGACCTTCTCCAAGCATGTAACTGTTATCATCCTAGGATTTGGACTCAGGAAAGGCAGCCTTGTGCTGTTTCTTGGTGTGAGAGAACAGCGCTTACCCAGGAA